CTTAATCAATTAAATTGTCACCCAAGAAGATTACATCTGAGAAAAGAACGAGAAAAGTACGTAGTGGGCTCATTGCTTAGTGTACCATGTTTGTTACTCAACTTTTTCCCTCGTTTCTTTTCTTTTGCTTTTTTTTTACATTCTTCAAGTTCATCCAAATTTTGGTTCTTTTCATTTCTTTTTTTTTGTTTTCTTTTTTTTTTTTCCATTCTTCAAGTTTATCCAAATTTTTGTTCGTTCTCCATCTTCTCTCTGTGTTATTTCTCTAGCATCTCGGTTTGCTTTTTGCCTAGAGAACTCAAATGTTTCTCCCATCTTTTTTTTTTTTCTTTTTCCTTTTTTTTTTCAAGAATTCAAATTTCACTGCATTTGTCCTTATGGGTGGATGGACTTAGTGCCTAATTTCGAATATGATCAAAGGGGTTTAAGTCATTTTGATACTTCCTAAAGACTCTCTCTCTCTCAAACCCTGAAAAAATATGTTTCCATGGTGCATGGAATAGTTTCCCAAGTAACTAATAATCTAACACCCGTGACCTCCAGAAAACAACTAATCCCTTCAAAAGAAAAATCATAACCATTTTTCGAAAAAGTGTTTAAAAAGTTGGACTAGGGTTCCAAGTTCCGACTAGTTATGCCTCTGAGCCCAGGACTCCTCAGTCCACACACAACGAGTCCACATGAGAGAGGAGAGCTTTATTAAGAGAAAAAATTATGAAAATTTGGGAGACTCACGTAATTTTTTAACTTGTCGATACCAAATAGTTTACATAAGGCTTGGATGATTATGAAGTGATTTTTTAACTTGGGGCAAGTCTTGATTCTTTAGACACTTCTGCAAAACGTGCAAATACTATTTTTCCTTTTGTCTTTGCATTGCAACTCACAAAGCATATATTTTTGTCTGTTTCAAGCGACAGAAAAGCGGCAAAATATACATTTATATAAGTCTTTTGGTTGGGTAGAAATTCTCTAGCAAGTTATCAACCCTCCATCCGCGGTAGAAGGTTTTGTGGGAACAATTTTATATTTCAGATTTCAGGATACATTATTTATGAAAAAATAAAAAAAAATAAAAATAAAATATAAGGGGGAACGTGTGGGTAGGCAAGAAGATAACGGGACATCAAAGCATCTATAGAACGAGCAGAAATCGATCAAGAGAGAGACAGAGGGAGAATCGCATAACCAAGCACAAGGGGAAGATGGCCGGAAGGCCAGATTCACATAACCGTTGGGCCCAAATGCGATAGAAGAGTTAGATTGTCTATAGCCGGAATCTATTGAAGGGAGCACCTAGTCTCATCTCATTCTGTGTCTACGTCCGTGTCTCATCAGCGCTCATGCGCCAGGTGCAAGTCGAGCAAGAACGAGATACGAAGGGTTGCACTTCACCTCATAGCTTTCCAATGTATTTGGATGTGTTAATATTTTCTTTTTTTCTTTTTAAATTTAGTGGGGTATACACACCCCTACTTGGTTTTTAAATGGTTAGGTTTTCGAAGCTGTGAGTGGGATTCGAGAGCACGATGTACCACTAAGAGACGTGCATGCTAGCACCACAAATGGAACCATGGTGTGTTAAACGTGTCTCATTCGGGTCCGTTTTCACGTGATAGCGGCGTCTTTCCCCCTTTATTTATTTTGAGCACACATATTATGCTCCCATAGGGGCACGTTGTGTTATTTCTCCTTCGCCTAGAGATCTAAGAATTTTTTTGATTTGAAACTCTAAAAACAACCTAAGAATTACTAGATGATTACTTTAGAAGGAAAAAAAAAAACTTCACTTTGAGTTTTCTAACACTAAAACCTCAGTATTCAAAAAATTGGTCAGTCCATGTTCAATCTTGAGATATTATTTTATCACGTGCATAAAGAATGCAAATTAGAATATTTTTTAAATTTATTGAGGCTGGTATATGGATCAAAGAGGTGATATCCCCAAAATTGGCGGTCCTAAAGTTATCCCTAGATTGGGTTTTGCCTTAAGGGGTAAACAGACAATATACTCCTATAGGAGTATAAATCTTTTTACAATTACCTTTGTCAACGGTCATACGGTCCCCCGGAAAATGTGTTGGGCTCTACGGCGAGAATCGTTTGGGTTCGAGCCACTAAAGGGACCACAGTTTCCGATGGTGTTTTTTTGTTTTCATTTCACAAATTTAGAAATTTTTTACAAATTTAGAAAACAAAAAAATTAATAGCATGTCAAAATATATGTGGCTTTAAAAGTATTAAGAGCATGTATAAACTATGACTATAGTGATACTATATTCTAGTTGGAGTATGGCCCATGTAAGACTAGAGAGTATGCTTCCTACAGTCTGTTGACTCACCCACCTTTAGCCCTAATTATAAGGCACAACTATCAAAGCTTTGTAGGCTTAGCCTTTGTTGAGGCCAAAGAGATTTCGAGGGTTGATTAGCTAGGCAGATGCCGGTCTTTTGTGTGTTATTATTGGCTTGTGAGGGTTAGGGGCAAATCCTCAATACCATCAATACTCCTACAAATTTACAAAATAGTAATTTTTTTTGTACAAATATAGGAAATAATAAAATTAATAGCTTGTCTTATCCATGTTGGGATATGTGGCTTTAACGTCCTTGAGAGCATGTAAAGACAATGGCTATACTATAGTGACACTATACTCATGTAGAAATGTGGTCCATATGAGGGACATACTTTGTAGTGCCTTTTGACTCACCGGGCTGGGCAGTCTAAGCTTAAACATGGAGTCCAAAACTCTTTAGACTTGAGCATTAGGTACAATCACGTAGTTTGCTCTCTTCCTCTATACATGGAGACAATTGAAGCCGAATTAATTCAACAACAACTCTATGGGGCCTAATTTTCTTTTGTTACTCTAATGCAAATTTCATCTAGGAGCTTTTTGGCTCCAGGGACACCATTGTCATTGTCAGGATCATTTTGGTCATCATGGTATATTTATGATTGTTTCTTTGTTTTGATCACCACGGCGCTTTCGCCATCATCTCTTTGCTTTGACCCTAGGATGAGTTTGTAATTACGTCTTTGTTAGTTTTGTCATTTTGGGAGTTGTCAAGGCCTAAAATATTTTAGTTTAGAGATAGATAATTTTATTGTGTGAAAGCTTCCATTTTTGGTTTAGAGAAAGATTATTTATTGTGTAAATTCATATGTTCGTAAAACCAGCCGATCTAACCGGTAACCACCCGGTTAGATTGAAACCGATCAGTTTTGGGCGATTTTGGTGATCAACCGATATTTTAAACTTTAGATACAATACTACTTCAAATTGATAATAGATGTATTAGAATTCAAATTCATTTCATCATTGATTCACCACGGGAATCGAATTTGAAACAAGTCCTTTATTAACCAATAAACCATATACTACTTAGTAGACAAAAAGAAGGGCCTATATTATACATAACTTAAGTTATTCTTCATTTTATTTTTAAAAAAAGAGTTGGTCAAGATTTTAATATTCTTTACCTTAAGGTAAAAAATAACTTTTTTTTTGTCAATGACACTTTTTTTATTTTCCCATCTTTTTCAGAAAATTTTAAAAATACCCTTAAGCACAAATCGATTCATTAAAATCCATACTTTCATTAATTTTCAACTTCATTTGAATGTGTTTTGTTTTAATCGCATTCTTCATATACTTTTCATATTTTAATAGATTTTTTTTTTGGTATCTTTTTCATTTTTTTAGCACATTTTATCATTCGAGATTTGTCCGGTTAGAACGGTTGAATCAACCAGTTTACCTGTTAGGTTGGTTAAATGGCTTCCGAGCCCATATTTAGTTAACCGTTCCGGTTCGATTTTGTGAACACTAGTATGAATGCTTCCATGAGTCCAACATTTAAAGAACATTTACAGATGTGTTGTTTCATTGCATGGAAATTGGGTGCATGAAGGTTGCATGCAAGCAAGTTACAGTATGGGAAATGGGGCTAAGGGGTAATCCAGTCATTTATGTGCTTTGTTTGGGATATTTGGGTCATTTTTAAGCTCAAGCAAGTGGAAATTTATAAATGGACCATTACTGTAACAATTAGCCAGGTTTCTTGATAATTTGATAATGAAAAAGAACGCTTCCTTCTCCTCCTTGGTGTAGAGAGAAAGAAAGGGAGTTCCCATCCTTGTGTAATGCGAGTACCATGAGTTAGAGGGCCATCTACTTGATGTACTAGCAAGAATTAGGGGTTGAAAACTGTTCTCTCTCTATTCTCTTGATCGAGATCAATTAAGACAGGTCGTCCTCCCACAATCAGCATCAGATCTATACTTTTGGTGCTGGTTTTGCACCAAACAGTTGGATATGTTATAAATGAGCTTGCCATGTTCAAGTTCAGGTCCTTACTTGGTTAGTTTGAATAATTATAAATCAATAAATTTTTGTGGAGTAATCTCAGACAATGTTTGCATAGCCAAATACACTCAATGCATCAAATTTCTTAGCTAATAAAAGTCATAACTTAGAAATTAAGAAAAATAGTTATTCTTCGGCCTCACGGCAAGGTATTTAACGCCCAAAAATGCTCATATATAGGAGTTAAGGTCCATTCATTTAGATAGGCCGTACAAAAAAACCCAAATCACACCCTAATAACCGATAATGGTTTTCATTATCGCTAACAGCATTTTATTAATACTGAAACCAAACAAACTTCTGATCTAGTTGAGAAAACGGGTAAAGCCCTGTCCTCCCCATATATCCATGGACAAACAGTGGCCAGAAGCCAAGTGAAGAGTCACATTTTTATTTATGCGGGTCATACACGATGATGACCCTTCCATTTATGTAAGTAGGTTTTAGATAATTAGTTGATGGACCTTCACTTCAAATTCAGCTGGCTTTCAAACCCTTTAACAGCAAAGCCTGAAGCCGGACAATTTGGTGGGGAATAGTTGTAGGTATCCTTGCATAGACATTTGTTGGAGTTGGAATCCCCTTCGGTGCAATCACAGTTTTTGCACCAGATGGGACAGCTGTACCACACGTCCGAGCAGCTACAAATTGGGGGACATGACAGCAAGCAGATGCCCTCATTGCAGCATGGGCTGCAAGTCCCTGCCATCACCACCACCACCACCACCCAAAAAATAAAAAGAAAAAAGGTTTAAGAAAATAAAGTGAGTGGAGTACTAAGAAATAAAAGAGCTATGCACCAAAGAAAGAGAGAGAATGAAGATTCAAAAGTTGAAGAGGGCTTGTTAGTTTTAAGGCTAAAGCCTTCATCACTAGCCAAAGCTAGTAATATATTATTTGGTAGCAGTCATTGTTTAGTCGATCGATGCCGAAACGGAATACCATTTCGTGGAAAATGCCATTCGATGGTGCACCGTTTGCATCATCTGTAAATGGGGTTGAGACCCCCTTATTCATAAATTATCAGGAACAATGGTAAAACACTGTAAAAACAATTTATCCATTGTTTGCCGGCTATAAATACTTTGTATTCCAGCACCAAAACTAAATTACCATATTTGAAAAATAAGAATCCCTATTTTCTGTTTTTCCTATCTCCCGAAGGAGAACTTTCTACCTGCTTATGAAAACTTACCAAAGTTGGGATTGGTTTCCATGCCCTTCGCCCCGTAATCACAAACACCAATGAACACAAATAGAAGCATCACCACAACTCTAAACCCACCCATTCTGTTTCCTCACACACACACACAAGAAACAGGGTTTGCGACTTTGTATTGGAGGGTTGGGCCTTTATAGAGGGAAGCGAAGACGCGTTGGAATATAGGGAAATGTTCATTTCCTTATCTTAAACGTGTGGACTTTCGTGGTTAGGTTCAATGAATGCCAATGCCATTTATCTTTAATTATTGATGTCCTATATTATATATATATATATATATATATATGGTACGTAAGCTTTTTATGCATACCACTAGCAACATTTTTAAATAATTAAAATACGACGCACTCGCGTCAATTTTAAATAATTAAAGTCAGATAAGCACGAGGATTCAAAAGTAAGAATGGTGATTTGACACCTGGTCGTAAAATTTGAGGCGTCTCAAAAACATACAAATCTTGGATAAATATTTCAAAAGTAATGACTCAGGTATGTTTTTTTATTAATGTGAATAAAATTTCAAAAGATCTTCATTAAAGTTGATATAGATCTCTAAAAACGTTATCACATAGATATTAGATTTAACTTTTTTCGAAATATATATTAAATTTGATGATTTTCATTTGGGGTCCTACTAAAAAATATATAAGAAGGTCTCAAAGGATCATTACTCATATTTCAAAATCATAACAATGGCGGTATTAAAATTTTTTTACAAGAACGTTATTTTAAGAACTTGAATTTTTTTTTTTTTTTTTTTAATATCAATATATTTTCATGTGGGGATGATCAGTTGGATGGTTTTCCAATATCAAAACAATTTTTCCATGAGAGTTTTAGTTGCATTTTAATTTTATAATATAAGGTTGATGTCTTATATAAATTTTTTTTCCATATAAATAAAAGGGTCTCAAAGAACAATGCTCAATCAAAATGTTTATTTAAATTCTAAAATGAAAATAAGGACATGCAGACAAAATCGAATGGGCAAAATTCACTTCAAAATGAGACAATTTATTCATTTATTTAGAGATCAATCTTAGGGTGCCTATGGATAATTTGTTAAATACATATGATCGCAGTTTTTTCAATAAAATACTTGTATTTAATTTATTACATTTTTTCTTAGAAAAATAACATCTAAACAAAGAAAAGAAAAATAATATACATAATGGATTTGCGGCCTAATTTACCATGCTTGACCACATGGGGGGCGGTGCGTAACCGTCAATGCGTTGATGTCACCTTGAGACTGATAAAAAATATATAAAAATCACAAAGATGCCTTAAGATAATATTCAAATGTGATTTTAATGCCTATAATTGGTATTTATGTTGAAAATATCCTACAGTTTTGATTGAAATAAGGACAGAGTCCCCATTTGATCATCAGTTTGATGCATAGTAGTGAGTTTCTCCTCAAATATGTTATAAATAAACATTAGGGGTGCGAATCGGGTCGCGTCAAGCAGCTGGCAAGCAGGTTGATTCGTACCTGATATGGGTCCCAGTAGGTCAAGTCCATATCTTACTTGGACCCTATCTGGTTGGGTTGGGTTGAGGTCGGGGTTAACTATCTGGTAGGGTCGGGTTGCGGTTACGTCCATATCTGACTTGGACCCAATACATATTTCAAATAAATTTTTACTTTAAATTTTTATAATTTTTAATTTTTGTTTAAAGAAAAAGTTTGCATAAGGTTGCAACCTTATACAGTTGAAGAAAGGTGCAGCTCAAAAATCTTGCAGTGGAGAGTGTTCCCACATAATAGAACCCTCCAACAGATCATCTAGACCTTGAGATGAAAGGACATGAAGAAAAACAATGATATCCAAGTTAAAAAAATAGTACATCTAGTAAAAAGTCATCTGAACAGCCTCTTTTTAAGATTTTCAAGTGTTTATTAATCTGCTCGATCTGTACTAATTTTTAAATTTTAAATTTTAAATTTTCTAACTGAATTTAAAAAGAGCTTTTGAAGCCAAAATAAGATTTTCGATACCAAAATGATATCTCTAAGTAAATTTTATAGGTGCACCTAAGCTCTATAGTATAAAGAGGCAACCTTATACAAACCTCACCTTTTTTTTTAATATTCTCAATTTTAACCACCAAAACTCTCGATACTCGAGCTCGCCACTGTGGTAAGCCCATCTTACTCTGGCAAGTCTAGGTTGGCTCGCATGAGTAGTTAGACATTATCCTACAATCTCGACATCCATGGCCCTAAAAAAATAATAAAAATTTTATTTATCCCTGACAGCAAAATCTGACCAAAAGACTCTTGAAGGAAAATTGTTTGGTGCATCATAGCCCGCACCTATTACAAAGCTACACCAAAATTAGGTACCGTAGATAGTAGTCCTCCAAAAAAAAGTAAAATCAAAGGTTCATATATTTTCTCTAAACAATATTATGTTTAGCTTTTAAAATTTATTTATTTTTATAGATTAATAATCTACCTGTTAAAAATTATATATTCCTTTAAAAATAGGACCAACTTCTATCTCGAAAATAAATCATTAACGGGCATGCATTTCTACATGTGAGTCCGTGGAGTCATCCAAGCTGTGTCCTAGATAGAACAGCTGAAGTAAATAAAAAGGAAGAAAAAAGCATTACTAGATTGTACCAAATGGAATGTCCTCGCCGTAGGCTCGTTTACTTCAACTTTAACAACTTACCCTTTTTTTTCTCTCTTACTTTGTAGTTCATTATCATAAGGCCACTTTTGGAAATAGTACATCTTGTAATGCATTTTTGGATGGTCAATTTTCAAGATTTTTATGTTTTGACAGTTGCTCGACCTACATTATTTTTGAAGCTTTAAATTTTATAATTAAAAATGAAAATATATTTGAGGGCTATCACACAAATTTCTAGTATTGAGACCATATTTATCGATACTATTTGAAGGTTTGCTGTAATTTGATTGTTTAGAGCCTCGGCTCTATATAAACCGCACCCTCATTATCTTTTATACTGAAGATCACAATGTGGTTTAGATAATGGTCTCTTTGTGACAGCTTCCTTAGTGCTCTTCCTCTCTCCATTGTAGTTATTGTCATTGCCTCTCTCTCTCTCTCTTCATTTTTTTATCACTAAGCAAATGTAATGCGGTAAACATCTCTCGCTCTCTCTTTCTCTATAGCCATCATGATTGGGAGTGATTTACGTTGGGAGAATAAATTTTAGTTAAAATGCCAAATGCTCCACTTATATAAAAAAATTACAAAGAAAGTCGATCAATTTGTTATTTATTTTATTTTATTTTTTAAATTACCCCTCGATCAAAAAAAAAAAGCTGTTAAATAGCAATTTTACTTGAGAGAGTAGATAGATAGTAGGTTCCGACAAGGGCATAACATATACCCAAAAATAAATAACGTTATTTTTCATATCACACCTAAGTGCTTAGAAATTTGTAGTCTTTATCGTTCTTCATTTTCTTTTATTTCATTTTTGGAATCACCCGTCTACTGATACTAACACGATTTCTTGAATTCCATAGTTCATCAAGGAGCACTTTTCTCAAGGTTGTAAATTTATTGCACTCCATCGGGCGTACACTTTACGCGCTTGCCCTTTAAAGGATAAACACGGAGCCCGGACGAAAATGGGTCACTCAACTATTTTTCCAATTGGTATATTAAATGGTGGACCCGGTTTCTATACCGCCAAGCCCGTATAAGTAGAAATGTGGGTTTCTTAATAAAGATATTTATGAGATGAGTTTTAGGACTTAATTTTTTGGGACATGTAATCTGTAACATGGAGATTATGAATATGAAAAAAATAAATAAATTTTAACAATTAGAAATAACAATTCTAATAAAAAACATTTGGACCTTGATGGATCACATCCATCTTTGAGATTTATGCTTTGCACTTTCTCGACCAAAGTAGAAATGCATTCATCTTAAAGATGGATGCTTTATACTTTTTGAACTGCATTTCTACATGCATCCATTTTAAAGATGGTTTTGGACAGCATATGTAGACATGCAGTCCAAAAACAATGTTCCTTAAATGGTGGACCACCGAAATGTAAGTTTATGCCCGCATGTGGATGGTGAGTAATAATGTATGGATAGAATGGGGACCACAACGTTCTGCACAATTAACATTTTCCTATTAATTATTTGGTCATATGCAAATCAGTTATAATGATGTGGGTCTTACAACATGATTGGCCATTAAATTGGGCAAGCGAATACTAGTACTACCAATAGGACTTATCCATCTGCTTTATGCCAGCAGGTTTACAAATAAAAGACCGGATTGTATAATACGAGGTTATTTATCTTTTTGACAAGTAGGTTAAAATTACTTCTAGATTTCAAATTGGAATGCTTTAGATGCTTCATAAAGTTTGACATTTTCTTTTTTTAACTTTCGAAAACAGAGATTTATCATACTGGGTGTTCACCGTAACAAGAGATAATCAAGATGGGCTCGGTTTCCAATAGAGCCGAGCCCAGACGAATATGGCTCACTCAATTGTTTGACTTTCTAGCTTGTATATTAAATCGTGGATCACCAAAATGTGGGTTTATGCGTGTTGTAATTGTGTATGCATGGATTGGGTACAAGTAAAATTTTCCTTTTAATTATTTTGGTCATATGTAAGTCAATAATTACGATGTGCGTCTTCCAGTATTGCTGGCCATTGAACTGGGGAAGTGAAGACTTGCTCTACCAAGGCAGGATGGTGTTCTATGAATCTATTTATCTCACTTATAAGTAGAGTAAAAGCATTTCTAGCCATTGGATGTTAAATTAGATGGCGTGGGATAACTCAAACAGTTTGAGAAAAAAAAAATTGAACTTTTAGTCTAGTCAATGGCATATGCTCTAAGCTACCCGAGTGAAATCTAAAAGATAAGAGTGGTTGTGACTTCCTTGTGGCAAAAGTAAATGCTCTCTTTTTATATTTTTCCTAAACGAAAAAAACTGTGTGGTTGGTTGATTTTGTGCTATCTAAAATCACCCACATAAAGAAATCTCATATTATGTGGGATTGGGATTGAGATTATTGATAAGTTTCTTAAAGGAAATAGAAATCCAAAATGATTATGATATCTCTTGGTTTTTGAGATATATGTAATATTTATAAAAAGTTTCCTATTTAGAGTGAAT